GTTCTGTTTGATAGCACTGTTGATGAAACTTTCCATCACTTTACTGATGATTGAGAGTCGACTGATGGGATGGTAATTGGCCAGGTTGGATTTGTCCTGCTTTTTGTGTACAGGACATATTTGGACAATTTTCCACATTGTCGGGTAGATACCAGTGCTGTAACTGTAATGGAATAGCTTGGCCAAGGGAGTGGCATGTTCTAGAGCACAAGTCTTCAGTACTATTGCCCAAATGTTGCCAGGGCCCATGGTCTTTGGAGTATTCAGTGCCTCCAACCGTTTCTTGATATTATGTGGAGTGAATCAAATTGGCTGAAGACTGGTATCTGTAATGCTGGGGACCACTGGAGGAGGCCGAGATGGATCATCCACTTGGCACTTCTGTCTGAAGATTGCTGCGAATGCTTCAGCCTTATCTTTTGCACTGATGTGGTGGGCTCTTCCAACATTGAGGATGGGGATATTTGTGGAGCCTCCTCCTCCAGTAAGTTCTTTAATTGTCCACCAACATTCACGACTGGATGTGGCAGGACTGCAGAGCATAGATCTGATCCATTGATTATGGGATCGCATAGCTCTGTCTATCACTTGCTGCTTTCGCTGTTTGGCGTGCAAGTAGTCCTGCTTGGTGGCTTCACCAGCTTGATACCTCATTGTCAGGTATGCCTGGTGCTGCTTCTGGCATGCCCTCCTGCACTCTTCATTGAACCAGGGTTGATTCCCTGGCTTGATGGTAACGGTTGAGTGAGGGATATGCCAGGCCATGAGGTTACAGATTGTGCTGGAGTACAATTCTGCTTTTGTTGATGGCCCACAGCACCTCATGGATGCCCAGTTTTGAATTGCTTGATCTGTGCGAAGTCTATCCCATTTAGCACGGTGATAGTGCCACACAACATGATGGAGGTTGTCCTCAATGTGAAGGCGGAACTTGATCTCCCCAAGTATTGTGCAATGGTCACTCTTACCGATACTGTCATGGACAGATGCAACTGCAGCTGGCAGATTGGTAAGGATGAGGTCAAGTATGTTTTTCCCTCTTGCTGGTTCCCTCACCACCTGCAGCAGACCCAGTCTAGCAGTTATGTCCTTTAGGACCTGAACAGTTTGTTCAGTAGTATTGCTGCCAAGCCACTCTTGGTGGTGGACGTCAAAATCCCCCACCCAAGTACATTTTGTGCCCTTGCCATTTGAACTGGGAGATGGTGGACAGGCTTTGCAGAGACAGGAGGTGAGTTACTTGCAATGGCATTCCTAGCATTTGACTTGTTCTTGTCTACACTGTGTTTATATGGTGAGTCAAGTTGACTTTCTAGTTATGGTAACCCCAGGGATGTTGACAGGGGGAGGTTTAGTGATGAAAATGCTATTGAGTGTCAAGAAGCAGTGGTTAGATTGTCTCTTACTGGTTGATGGTCATTAACTGGCAGCACATGACCTGAAAGATTTGTAGACTGTGGACTGTTCTCAGCCACTAGAGATAAGAACATAAGAAAAAGGAGCAGGAATAGGCCATCCGGCTCCTCAAGCCTGCTCTGCCATTCAATAAGATCATGGCTCACCGTTTTCATGGACTCAGCTCCACGTACCTGCCTGTTCACCATAACCCTTAAATCCTTTATTGTTCAAAAATCTGCCTTTAAATCATTCAATGAGGTAGCCTCAGCTGCTTCACTAGGCAGGGAATTGCATGGATTCACAACCCTTTGGGAGAAGAAGTTCTTCCTCAGCTCAGTTTTAAATCTGCTCTCCCTTATTTTGAGGCTATGCCCCCTAGTTCTAGCTTCACCCGCCAGTGAAAGCAACTCTCCTGCTTCTATCTTATCTATTCCCTTCATAATTCTATATGTTTCTATAAGATCCCCTCCCTCCTCCATTCTTCTAAATTCCAATGCGTCTACTCAATCTCTCCTCATCAGCCAACCCTATTAACTCCAGGATCAATGTAGTGAACACCGTCTGCACCCCCTCCAGTGCCTCTACATCCTTTCTCAAATAAGGACACCCAAAATTGTACACAGTACTCCAGGTGTGGCCTCACCAGCATACTATACAGCTGCAGAATAACCTCCCCCATTCTTAAACTCCATCTCTTTAGCAATGAAGGACAATATTTCCATTTGCCTTCTTAATTAGCTGCTGCACCTGCAAACCAACGTTTTGTGATTCATGCACAAAGACACCCAGGTCCCTCTGCACAGCAGCATGCTGCAATTTTTCACCATTTAAATAATAGTCCATTTTGCTGCAATTCCTACCAAAACAGATGACCTCACATATACCAACATTGTACTCCATCTGCCAGACCCTTGCCCACTCACTTAACCTAGCTATTTCCCTCTGCAGACTTTGTGTCCTCACACACCTTGCTCTACCACTCATCTTAGTGTCATCCGTGAACTTTGACACACTACACTTGGTTCCCAACTCCAAATTATCTATGTAAATTGTAAGCAATTGTGGTCTAAACACTAATCCCTGAGACACACCACTGGCCATTAATTTCCATCCAGAAAAACACCCACTTATCCCATCTTTTCTATCTGTAGTTAACCAATCCTCTATCCATGCTAAAACATTACCCATAAAGCCATGCATCTTTATCTTATGCAGTCAGCTTTTGTGTGGCACCTTTTCAAATGCCTTCTGTAAATCCAAATATACCACATCCACCAGTTCCCCATTGTCCACCGCACTCATAATGTCCTCAAAGAAATCCAGTAAATTAGCTAAACATGACCTGTTTTTCAGGACCCCCTGCTGTATCTACCCGATGGGACAATTTCTACCTAGATGTCTTGCTATTTCTTCCTTAATGATAAATTCAAGCATTTTCCTACCAAATAAACTCAATATGGCTGCTAATTTGTCAGGAACTGCTGCAACAATGGAACTTTTCATTTGTTTCATAAAAGAGAATTTGGTGAAATAGTCAGTCACCAGGATGCGGTTGTATCCTTGGTCATGGAAAATATTGGTTATGATTCAGAAATCTGTGAAGAGCATCAGAAACAATCATCTGTGGGCCTTAATTGTATCATACTTTGAAATCATACTCTTAGATCTTCAGAAGTCGACATTATGGTCATGAACCTGCACTTATGAGAAATTTTCAAGAGAACATTTCCAATAGTTTGTAATCAGTATGAACAATGAAATGATTGTTGTGTGGCATTTTTGTGCTCCAAAAACTAAAGTGAGAGGATCCATTTCTGTATTAGAGTAGTTTGCCTAAACTGATTTAAGAGTGTTAGAACCAAATGCAATAAGCTTGTGCCATCCTGAAATGGACATGACCCCGATCTCTTTCTGGGATGCATCTACTTCCAACGTGGTAAGCTTAGTGGGATCATAATATTGGAGAATATGTTTGCTAAGGCACAGTGCATTTTTGATAGATCAAAAAATGTGCCAAGTGTATCTTTGTGGAGATCTTTGCAAAAGTAAAGATATTTTGCTGCAAATTCCAGAATATACAAAATTATAAAGTCGAAGAAACTGAAAAACCTTTGTCTTGTTATATAGGCATCCTCTGTATATGTTCTATTTTAGTAGGGGCAGGTCTAATACCGTTTGATCTGGTTCATGTTGATTTAACATGTTTTGCTGTTGAAAACAAAGCCTTGTTTTCTTGTTGCTTCCTTGAGCTCATCCACGTTTGTGTCAGGCCAATGTTTAGTTTTCTGGAGAACTGCAAAGCCATCTGTGACACTGAGACAATCTGGTACATTATGTACGATACAATATGTGTTGTTGGAACATACCTTGGCTGACGGACGATCTAAATAGTAATCTAAGAATACAGTATGTAAAAACTGTTTTCAAAAAGTTGTAAGTTCCCATTGTCACAGGCCGAGTGGTCTAAGGCTCTAGCCTCTTTGGAGGCGTGGGTTCGAATCCCACCCGTGTCAAGTTACTTTTTGGGGCAGTACTGTGGCACAGTGGTTAGCACTGCTGCCTCACAGTACCAGGAACTCAGGTTTGATTCTACCCTCAGGCGACTGTCTGTGTGAAGCTTGCACATTCTCCCTGTGTCTGTGTGGATTTCCTTTGGGTACTCTGGTTTCCTTCCACAGACCAAAGATGTGCAGGCTAGGTGGTTTGGGTTACAGGGATAGGGTAGGTGGGTGGGACGCTCTTTGTATGGTCAGTGTGGACTCAATGGGCTGAACGGCCTGCTTCTACATTGTAGGAGTTCAGTGATTCCATATTCTATGAATGCTTTATACTCTTAGACTTAGAGCATAAAGTTGCATCTCCATATAGAGTCTCTTCACCATATGAACTCTTGACATCATGACTGACACAGCTGACTGTTTGTATATTTGAGAATTAGATCTTTACAAATCCATGTAGAAAATAGTTTGTATATTCTTTGAAAAATAGTTTTCATTCAATAAAATCAGGTTATTTCATTAAAATTGGGTTGCTTACATATGGTAGAGTGGTACTATGATTTAAATGTTAACCTTTTTCAAAGTTGTTTTAATTAAACTTTACTGTTGTTAAATACATTGAGAAATATTTTGAAAGCCATTTATTATTCCATCAACGGTTCATGGCAGATTTTGCATACAGTAATATGTAAGTAATTTTCAGCAGATGTTCTGAGAAAACACTTTTTTTAAAGGTTTTATGGAAGCACTGACAATGATACAAAGCGGACTTTAAGTTACAACTATTTCGTGTAAAATTTGTGTCAGGATCGCTGACTTCACCAAAATGGGAAGTGCGCTGAAATGTCTTTCTGATGCCTTATCCCATGGGAGTTAGTTTTGTAGCTTGTCCTGTATAATATTTTCCATTTGTCCCATAGCAAGAATAAAATTCTGGTATATCTTAACTAAAGTATCATTGTAAACAACTATTTTGGCATGCGATATTAATGGGGAGAGCACAGGAGATTTTCCTGGGTTTGCAACTGGTTACGAACTAAGGAGATAGTTCTTTGAGATTCCACAGGTAAAAAGAATCAGTATTTTAATTGAAGAGCACTATACCAGGCTGCTGAGCAGAAGTCGAGGTCAAACTTGCGAAAAGGAGACCAATCAGTATAGCTTCAAACTGAGCCACGTTGAAAAACATTCTGACAATTTCCCTACAGAAGCAAAGAAAGAAAACACAGCAGTTACATTTATTTGTTTAATATTAGCACTGCTGCCCTTATCAAAACGAACTCTCTTGGTCTCTGCTGCAACTGGACTTATTGATTAACAGGAAATTCCATGTAACAATCAAAACCTCAGCTTTTCACAGCCTTACAGTCAAGACAGAGTAAATGCAACTTTGCTGGAGTTGATCCATTTCATCAATACCACAGTTCTGTTGATTTGATTCCAAAGAAAAATCTTTCATTTAGTACACAATGAACAGGACTTCAAGTTTTTCACCACATAGCTCTATTCACATAATTGCATCTTTTGACCTCGTAATTTGTGAGGCTATTGTCATGGGATTAGCCACAGTAAATATTACGTTTGCATACTCTTTCAGTTGCTTGGTATTGTCCTCACAATATAATTAGCACTATTACCTACCCAACAACATAAGTTCTGTCACATATGCAATGGATGTGCAAAACCCATTCATCCTGTAAAGAGAAAGGGCTTCGGGAATATATTATTTGCATAGATACATGTTGATAATACTGAGAGATTTTCCAACAGGTTTTTAAGATAAGACTAAGATAACCGCCCAAAAATGAACCCCAACTTCATTTAGTTATGTTATTGCATCTAAATGAAGCCTTGTATGCCTGGAACATATTTACAATAAGTGTTCCCTGTGTAACTTTAGATTAGGACCCAGACACTCTTCCAAATGATTTACATATTTTTTGCATTTTACTGGAGAAAACAGCTTTGATTTTGTTTATTAAAATTCTTTGTTGATATTTCCCCATCATAATGGTTTCTTATGTTTGCAGATAATCTTAGAGAGTTTAACAGTGTAACAAGAAAGACATGAGTTAATACCATTCATAATTTCATAACATCGCAAAGCACTTTAAAACCAGCTACGTAACTCTGAAGTGTAGTCACTTCTGTAATGTAGGAAACACATCAGCTAATTTGTGCACAACAAGTTCCCATAAAGATCAATGAAACAAATGACCAAATAAGTCTGCATTTTAGTGATGCTGGATGGGAATTAAATTGTTTGCAAAATAGGGGATGGGTGGGACAACTCTGCCCTCATGCTCAAATTAAAAATCTTTTATGTCCACCTATAAGGGTGCACATCTCATCTGAAAGACATCACTTCTGTGTAATTCTTCCTCAGTACCAGAGTGCAGTAGAAGGCTTTTTTTTTTGTTTTGCTCAAGTTTCTGAAACAGATAAACTTTTGCTAAAACTGAACTATTTCCAAGACCTCAACAGAATAGAAACATCTTAAAGAAAGTAGGATAGGTAAAATCAGTACTCTTGCCATACCAAATCTCAAAAACAACAACAATTTGCATTAATATTGCACCCTTAATATAATCCAATGTCCCAGGTACTTTTCAGGAGCATTAAGAAAAACAAAATTTGACAACAAATTGCAAATAATAGGGCAGATGCTACTGTTATACTCATATAACAGGAAAAGTTTATAACAGGTGGCATGGTGGCTCAGTAGTTAGCACTGCTGCCTCACAGCACCAGGGACCTGGGTTTGATTCCACCCTTGGGCAACCGCCTGTGTGGAGTTTGTACAATCTCACCTTGTCTGCAAGAGTTTCTTCCGGGTGCTCCAGTTTCCTCCCACAGTCCAAAGATGTACAGGTTAGGTGGAACAGCCATGGGAAATGCAGGGTAACAGGATAGGGTGGGGGGGTGGTTGGGTCTGGGTGGGATGCTCTTTGGAGGGTTGGTGTGGACTGGATGGGCTGAATGTCCTGCTTCTATGTTGTAAGGTTCTATGGTAAAATTAATAAAAGAAAACAAAGAACTGTGAATGCTGGAGGTCTGAAACAAAATCAGAAATTGCTGGAGAAATTTGGCAGGATCTGGACCAAGTTCTGATCAAGAGTCACTGAACTCAAAGCATTGACTCTGCTTTCTCCCCACAGATGCTGCCAGACCTGTTGAGTTTCTCCAGCAATTACTGTTTTTGTAATAGGTTGTCTAGTTTGGCTGTTCATTTGATGGCTTCATGAGATGCCAAGTGGAGAAATGATGTGCTTTTAGATCTTTGTGGGCAAATTACATGACATGTTCCATGGGTTTGAGATTCACAGCCTCAATGCACTTTGGTCATCCCTCAATTTACAAAGGAGGTAGATATGGCATCTGATTAAGAGTCTTCTAGACTCAAAACATTAACTTGCTTTCTCTCCATGGATGCTGTCTGACCCACTGATCTCCAGCATTTTTTTTTTCTGTTCAGATTCCAGCATCTGCAGTAATTTGTTCCTGAATATCACCTTTTTTCCAGAATGGACAACATGATATTAAACAGCTTCTTAGGGTTTTACGACAAATGAGAAAAAGTTTGACCTACGAGGTAAATTTTAAGGAGCATCTTAAAGGAGGAAAATGAGATAGAGAGAAACTCCTTCATAATTTTAAAGATCTTTATTAGGCCAACTTTCAGCTTTTTCTTTTCTTGGAACAAGGGTTTACTTTTGTTCTATGTTATGTCTCAATTCTATTATCATCCTTACAAGTGACTACTTCAATCCAATGTTGCTAAGTTATAAACGGCATAAATTACATCAAATTGTAACTTACATGGAATACCTCTGCCTATGTTTGACCAAATATCTCTGTCACTTCCATAACTTAGGATAAGACATCCCAAATTTAAAAGCGCATCAAGGATTCAGCTCAACATTTTGCAAGGAAATTTCCAGGAGATTTCTATTTATCATTGCAATGGAAAACCTAATCATTCCACTTGGCCAGCAGGAGATTTTAGCACCACGCCAAAGAGGATCTGTGGAAATATGGTTTGTGTTAATCCCAGGTATGAAGCTGATGAGTCATCAATGTGGACTCAATTCTGTCCTCTAAACCGCACCAAGTTCGTGACAACTGGAACATATTAATTCTTGGAAATTTAGAAAAGCAGGAAATTAACTTCGGCTGACAACCCTTGCCCTCATCCCTGTAGGCTACAGTAAATCTTGAAAGAACCCTGAGAGTAATATTGGAAAGTCCAAGAATGCTTCCAAATGACCACATAAAATTTAACTGCATACAGAAGCTCTGGTTATTATTATTTAGAGGACATGCAGACATTCTGACAACTGTATGACCCATAGCCCGTTCAGACCTAAATAATGCTTCAAATTAGTCCTCTGTGATCTTCAAAGTTTATTTTGAGTACCTCCCAAGTAATTTCACCTACAACCCTCCCACCACCCCTCCTCCCGACCTCCAGACCCCAAACAACGTCAGAGCAAAGTTATTTCCTATCCCCTAGAAAAAAATACCATTCTCAAAGTTGAGATAACAAGGTGCAAAGCTGGATGAACACAGCAGGCCAAGCAGCATCAGAGGAGCAGGAAAGCTGAAGTTTCAGGCCTAGACCCTTCTTCAGAAATGGGGGAGGGGAAGGGGGTTCTGAAATAAATAGGGAGAGAGGGGAAGGCGGCTAGAAGATGGATAGAGGAGAAGATAGGTGGAGAGGAGACAGACCGGTCAAAGAGGTGGGGATGGAGCCAGTAAAGGTGAGTGTAGGTGGGGAGGTGGGGAGGTAGGGAGGAGACAGGTCAGTCCAGGGAGGACGGGCAGGTCAAGGGGGCGGGATGAGGTTAGTAGGTAGGAGATGGGGTGGGGCTTGAGGTGGGAGGAGGGGATAGGTGGGAGGAAGGACAGGTTAGGGAGGCGGGGACGAGCTGGGCTGGTTTTGGGATGCGGTAGGGGGAGGGGAGATTTTGAAGCTTGTGAAGTCCACATTGATACCATTGGGCTGCAGGGTTCCCAAGCGGAATAGGAGTGTTGTTCCTGCAACCTTCAGGTAGCATCGTTGTGGCACTGCAGGAGGCCCAGGATGGACATGTCGTCTGCGGAATGGGAGGGGGAGTTGAAATGGTTCGCGACTGGGAGGTGCAGTTATTTAATGCAAACCGAGCATAGGTGTTCTGCAAAGCGGTCCCCAAGCCTCCGCTTGGTTTCCCCGATGTAGAGGAGGCCACAACGGGAACAGCAGATGCAGTATACCACATTAGCAGATGTGCAGGTGAACATCTGCTTGATGTGGAAAGTCTTCTTGGGGCCTGGGATGGGGGTGAGGGGGGAGGTGTAGGGGCAGGTGTAGCACTTCCTGCGGTTGCAGGGAAAAGCGCCTGGTGAGGTGGGGCTGGAGGGGAGTGTGGAGCGGACAAGGGAGTCACGGAGAGAGTGGTCCCTCCGGAAAGCAGACAAGGGTGGGGAGGGAAAAATGTCTTTGGTGGTGGGGTGGGATTGCAGATGGTGGAAGTGTAAGAGGATGATGCGTTGGATCCGGAGATTGGTGGGGTGGTACATGAGGATGAGGGAGATTCTGTTTTGGTTGTTATTGCGGGGAGAGGGTGTGAGGGATGAGTTGCGGGAAATGCGGGAGACACGGTCGAGGGCATTCTCGACCACTGAAGGGGGGAAGTTGCGGTCCTTGAAAAATGAGGACATCTGAGATGTACGGGAGTGAAATGCCTCATCCTGGGAGCAGAAGCGGCGGAAGCGAAGGAATTTGGAATAGGGGATGGCATTTTTGCAGGAAGGTGGGTGGGAGGAGGTGTATTCTAGGTAGCTGTGAAAGTCGGTGGGCTTGAAATGGATATCGGTTTCTAGGTGGTTGCCAGAGATGGAGACAGAGAGGTCCAGGAAGGAGAGAGAGGTATTAGAGATGGTCCAGGTGAACTTAAGGTTGGGGTGGAAGGTGTTGGTGAAGTAGATGAACTGTTCGAGATCCTCGTGGGAGCACGAGGCGGCACCGATACAGACATCAATGTAACGGAGGAAGAGGTGGGGTTTAGGGCCAGTGTAGGTATGGAAGAGGGATTGTTCCACGAAACCTACAAAGAGGCAGGCATAGCTTGGGCCCATGCGGGTACCCATGGCCACCCCCTTTGTCTGTAGGAAGTGGGAGGAATTGAAAGAGAAGTTGAGGGTGAGGACGAGTTCGGCTAAG